CCTTCAGCTTTCCCACACATCAGTGATTCTTGCACTTCTTGTAAGCTCATTTTGAGCTTTATGCTTTTCATTTCCATTAGCCTTGAAGATTCAAACTTTTATGGTTTATAAGTTGTTTTGAGTTTTAATAGTGGAAAATATCTGAAATTCCTGCAGATTATTTACCAATATTCATACCCAATCAATTGCGAAGTGTGAGTTCTCTGTTCATAGTTTCTGTAAGATGTATTTTGCTGAAAGGTTTCAAATTCGATTGTAATTTCTATTGATTTGTATGTTTCCTGCTTTGCAATTCAAACCAGAGGAATAGTAGAGCTGATATCACAAGAGCTTTATCAAATCGAGTCAAGAAGACGAGAATAAAAGGCCTAAAAAGAAAAGAGAACACTAAATTACCCAATGGTGATCTGCTGGATAAGGAAAATAACACCATATCTTCTGTTGTAGGGGAGGCAGGGAGTTCTAAAAAAAATTCCATCTAGGGTTTCTGTGCTCCAGGCATGCACTGTTACATCTGGTTTAATGGGTCTTTTGGGCCTTTTGATTCGTCAGGTTCAATTTACTCACTTCATCAACACTTTGATAACTTGTGATAAATATCTGAATGTGTGCTTCTTTTATCATTTTTATGTGATTATGTATAGACTCTGTTGCATATCATATGAGAAAATTCTCTTGCAATTTGTTCATTGTTGAAGAGATTTCATAATTTTGGTGGCCTTTTTAAATTAAAAAAAAAGTTATGAAGTCAATATTGAGTGGAAACTTCAGTTGGTTTTTACCGTTTCTGTCTTAGCTAATTTGCAGGTCTCTCATGTTGCATCACAAGCAGGATTGCCTATTGCTGTCTGCTCTGCTGAATTTTTATGTAAGATTGAGTCCTCTAATCCTTTGAATAAGTTTTTTGGTAATGTGACTAATGTTATATACTCTGTAGGAAGCAAAGTTATTTAAACATGCCTTAATTTCTTTATGTGTTTGTCCTTTTTAATCAAAAGTGTTTATAGGGAAATAAGGGTGAAGTTGGATTTCAAAAACCAGCTAGGTATAGATGTTTTTTAAAATATTTTTTTTGAAGTGCCTTTTAAGAGCAATCCTAAGAATTGCTATTTAATAGCATTTCTAATTTTAGTTCAATTTTAAAAAATGATTTCAAGTACAAGCAGTTTAGAAAAAGAACCAAAAGTTTATATTAACATTTCACTGGCAGTTGGCTCCAATGCAGGGGATTTTCAGGTGTGGCATCTTGAGTTGATTATGGGGCTGGTTGTATTGGTATCATCAGGCCGATATTTACTGTTGAAGACTTGTCCAGATTTTGCTGAATCTAGTGAAGCAGCAAATAGACAGGTACTTATGATACTTGTTGTTTGTCATCTTTTTTATTTAAGTATGTGATCTTTTGTACCTAAATGTATCTGTATTTGTGAATGCCAGGATCATTTTTCTTCTTCTTTCATCTACAAAATTTGACACCAGCGTATAGTTTGCAGTGCTTTCTAAGTCTAGGCTTTGTTTGAAAGATAGGTAAAATAAAAAATGCTATGGAGTTTCTCATAAAAATGCTAGGGAGGATTGTGTTAGTTTTCCCTTGAAAAATACTGAGGAAGACTAAGATTGATTAGCTTTTTAAATTTTTATTTTATGTTATGTATATGTTAAGATTCTTTAGTCTATATACTTGGTATAATAAAACATACTTCGTATTAAAAATATGAGTTTGAACAAATATCTAAAATTGTTTCATTGCGTTTGAACTTCCCTTTTCCCCATTTTTTTCTTTCTCCCTTAGTTCCCCCCTAGTATTTCTCGGGTTGCAAACAGAGACTAATTGAATGCAAACTACAAAACTCTTAGCTGATGTTCGCAGTGAAGGAAGAAATTCTACGTTTCATGTGTATCATTAGCATATAGCAGCTAGTTTACAATGAGGGTTTACTTACATGCTTCCAATGAACTATAATTTCCTCTGAAATTTGCTAATGCTGCATGCATCAGGTTCTTACTTCTCTTGAACCATTTGATTACATTGTCGTGTCATTTCTTCCTGGAGTTAGCGAGGTATCCACAGACAATTAGTCAGTTCTTTTACATTTCTTCACACAGTTTTGTTTTGTTAGATTTCAAAACAAACACCATCAAGCTTTGATGGATGTTTATTAATAAATTCAACAGGAGTTTCTTTTCCGTGGTGCACTATTGCCTCTTTTTGGTGTCAATTGGCCAAGTGTTCTGGCTGTTGCTGCTGGCTTTGGAATATTACACTTGGGCAGCGGCCGAAAATATTCATTTGCAATCTGGTATTTTGTTCAATCTTGGAACCTTTTATTAGCTTAAGCCTTTAAACTTCAAAGCCGTGCTTAACCAATGATAAAATATCAGTACCTATTGTATTATCAGCACTTTCAATTTGTAGAAATATCGGTAGGCATTCCAATATCCATATCGATAACAGAACAAATTGGGGGGGGGGGTTGCCTTTTGTTACTTTTCTGAGAAAACATATGAGACTTTTCATGTTTTTTGACTTCATAATATTTTCTCAAAATGTTCTGCTATGTTTTACTAAAAGTTTCTCAAAATGTTTTGACATTCTCCTAGAAACATCGAGATTCTAGAGAAGCTATGTTTCCTCCATATCAATATCGAGAAACCTTAAATACAGAAATTAAATTTTGATATTTCAGGCTATTTTCATCATATTGTGCTTAACTCATTATGATCAATCAATCTTTGACGTTGCACATTATAAATATGGGTCCAAAAACCCAATACTTCAGGATGCCCTTCGCCCGTTTTTATTCATAGATCAGACCATAAGCAGGAATACGTAGTTTTTTTTAAAAGCTTGAAATTTATCAAAATCACTGAATTTTAGGATTTTGGGAAACACTGATATCATATGTCGATTTGTGTTAGCCGACCCCGAACTTTTTTGGGAATAAGACTTGGATGTTGTACTGAAATTTATGAACTGAAATTGTGAGGTATGTGTTTGGCTGGAAAGTGTAATTACTGAAAAGGCATGCAGTGGCTTTTATGCATAACTGAAGCAAAATACAAAAGGTTAAAGTTGCCATTCTTGAATGAACAGTATTTATAAATTTATATTAGCAGAACTAGTAGCTATACTGCTACTTCTTTGGCTGAAAAGTCTTAACAGCTGAAGAAGCCAAATATAAGCTGTGTTTGGTGTTTTTTGCCTTTATTTTAGACATTTCAGCCTACAAGGATGTACTGAATGGCCTCTTTGACTTGCTTATTTGGCTGAAATGGATGTTATCAAGCTGTGAGAATTCAGCAGATTCTGTCATTTCAGCCAAAATAAATACTCCCTCCGTCCCAATATAAAGAGCACATTTGCTTTTTTAAACATTTTGAGGAACACTGTGTGACACTGTTTAGACACTGTTTTGCAATGTTTTGTTTGCCAAAAAGGGAAATGTGCCTTTTATATTGGGACGGCCCAAAAAGGAAAATGTGCTTTTTATATTGGGACGGAGGGAATAACCGTTATAACATGAGCTCATCTTTGACACATTTGCAACCTTGTGGTGCTAAACAAATGAGCATCTTTCTGTTCAAAAGCCATTGGATTGTGACAAACTGAATTTATGAAATTTTTCAGGGCAACATTTGTGGGGCTCGTCTACGGCTATGCGACAATGTTGACGTCAAGTATTACTGTTGCAATGGCTGCTCATTCTTTGAATAACTTGGTAGGAGGAATCATATGGCGTTCCACAACAAGCCATTCAAAATAGATTGGAAGTGTACTAAAAAAAATAGCAAGTCTTCTGTTGTATCTGTTCCCTTCCCTATAAATGATACCACCAGCCACCTGATGGGGAAGCCATAATTTTAATATAAAGCTTTTCAATTGATCCATTAGACAGCCCTGTGTAATTATCATTATAGTGTGTATAGATTTTTTTGAATAATTAATATCTTTGAGGCCTTGGGCCTTGCTTTGGGAATTCAAAAATCTTCAAAACAATTGGGATTTGGGAACGTAACTATATTGTCTAGCCATTAGGTCGTATTTAATTACACATATTTGCCTTAAAAGTTACACCCGTTTCAAGAGGGTCATTTTATACTATCCAATATTCTTTAATTCTTGCAACAGTTTGACTTTCATGTTTGCCAACACATAATTTTGACTATAATTATATTTAATTATGTATTAGTAAACATTATAAAAAGTTTATATTTTGAAAATTCACATTGATAATAATTCAATAACATTTTATACGTAATAATTTGCTTATGTATGTTAGTAGAAAATCGTGATCTAAGTAAGGTTTCTGAATAGTGCAATTAGCATAATGTTGCAAGAATTAAAGAATGGATGAAGTATAATTGTGTGTATATTCTGAAATGGAACTGGAGCAGGTGACGGAGGCCTAGAATCATCATATTAAATCTTTCTCACAAAAATTATTTTGCCCACAACTTTTTTGCCTATGATATAAAAAAGATTTTGCAAACTTAATCAATACTGTGGGCACAACCCCACAAGTATGGGTCTTCCAAACACAACTTCAAATCACAAAGAAAAATCTAAAAATACAAATCCACTTAGATTTTTGGGGGAGATGATTTTTGAGGATGTAAAACTTATTTATCATTAAACTTTAATCAGTAAATGTTTTGCTTTTATATTATAATATAATAATAATTATAATTATAATTATAATTATGATAATATTAGATGACAAAGTCTTCCGGGGTAAAAAAAAAAAAATTAGATGGCAAAGTGAGAGTGGTCGTTTTTCCATTTCACCACTTCAAATTTGCTCCCTCCCTACAAGTAGGGATTTTACACCAATTATCCTTCCCAAATCCAAAAATAAAAGGAAATTATTTCAACTCCCTTAAAATGATGGTTGATACAGTACGTAGATAATTACAGCTTCTCACTTTTTAAAATTTTATTTTATTTGACCAAAAAAAACGAAAAGTCAAAGAACATATTCTCATAGGTGAGGTGAGATGGACTTTTCTGTGTTACACGTTTGAACAAACAGTTGATGGACGTTTTAAGACCAGCAGCTTCTCAATAGACAGCAGTACAACAATGGCGACTTGTGCTGTGAGAGGAGGATGTCCCAGTGACTACATAGCCATCTCCGTCGCCATCGCCTCTATAACCTTGTAATTGCCTGCTTCATTTATTTACTTTCTTCATAAAACCCTCATCTATAGTTCCTATTCAAGAGTTACAGTTTGTGAGTGCGTTTCTTAAGACAATTTGCAGGGCCTGTTATTTCCTTGCTCTTTCTGATTTTTATGTTCGGAAAAGGATTTAGCTTTTTGCGGAGTGGTTTCTAGTTAAATTATCAAGTGATGGTTGCTTTGTTAACTTTTCACATGTTTGGTTGTAGACTACTTGGAAAATCGTTGTCGCCATATCTGATCCACAAAATCCCTAGGCCTAGAGGAAGTAGCTTCTGGCTTATGGCAATTCAAGTTTTTGCCAGCTTCAACCTTTTGTTATCAATTTTGGTAATGGATGATGCTCTTGCTGCTTTTATTTACCATCTCCTTCCAGCAAAATTTGCTTGACATTTGCTATGTTTTATTTTTAGATGTCCCTGCATTTCCTAAAAATTGGAAAGAGGAAGCAGTGGACTTCTTGCTATCTTTGGGCAGGTAAATTACTATCTCATGACAAACAATTGAACTTATGTCATTCTTGCCTAATGGTTTTTTGCTGCTTTTTAGTTTACTTATTTCGCAAAAAAGATTGATTTGTTATATTGCATTCCAGTCTGGGTAGAGGGGCCGCTTGGTTTTGGTTTGCTGTTGTGCTGCCGCATTGCACAGGCATTTCACCTATATTTTGTATTTGTGAAGTAAGTTTGCTTCTTAAACTCTTCTATTTACAAATTATTACTTTCAGGTATAGACTAACTGGCTGAACCAGTCAACCTCTCATTTGCTCTAAAGTTTAATAACAAAAATAAAAAATATGGAACTTTAGTTCATGGTTTAGCACTTTGAAGTACAATGATCTGATTCCTCCCAATGATAAAACTAGGCAAAAGGGGGTGGGGTGAGTCCTCATAATTGAGGCGTTTTACTTAGAGTTTTCCAAGGTCCAAGTTAAACTATTACTTACTTCAATGTTTATTCCTTACTATTCTTACAATGACAGGAGACGTCTGCCACCTATTAGATCTTATATATTCCTCCCAATGATTCTCCTCCCATGGATTGCTTGTGGTTATTGTAAGAATCTCTGATTTGATTCTCTGGTTGACCTTGGCTCATATGTGATTTGATGGAAGATAACAAAAATATATTTCTCTTTTTACACGAACACTTCTGCACCTGAAATCTTCTCTGCATGTAAAAAATCATTTACTGTATTGCTGCTACTATATGTTTTTTGAGGTCTTTCAACCATTTGGTAAATAATGCGCATTGTGGTTAGCAAAGTGCACTTGTACAGTTGTACTATTTTTTCCATTTCTTCCCTTCCTGGCTTCCCTCATCCCTGCACATGTTAAAAGTTCAAAACTTACATGCTCTAACACCCTTAAAACTAGGAATTGTAGTCCTAACTCTAATTTTATGATAAGCAAGATAGCACTTCAATGCCTCATCCACTAACCAATGTATTTAGTTTTACAAGATTTTGTAAAATGTTGCTTTTACTATTTCCCTCTTTTGAAGAAGAAGAAGAGATGTGCCTTCACCTGCCTATTTTTAATCTCATGTGTTTATATACTTCAAGTAACATCTTTTTAATTACTTGCTCATGTCAAGGAACAACCGTGTGTTGCTTTTAAAATCACCATTTTTTCTCTGCAGTTCTTCACAAAGAAAAGCCTTTGAACAACCATTGCCACATGCGGATTCAATGGATCATTCCAGTTATTTCCCTTCATGCGTTATATGTTGCCACTTTGATTGGTTTTACAGGAGCAGTTCGACACATCAAGTTTAGATTCGAAGAGCTAAAGGCCCTCTGGAGAGGAATACTTGTTTCCACTGCTTCCCTTGGTACATTTCTGCTAACATTTCTCTCTTATCAGTACCTATGCATCTTGTCTTCAACAAAACTGCATGCTCTATGCTAGTGCCGGTAAAAATTATGTTACACCAATGCAATCAATAATGACTCATTTGGAGTTTGCGAAATAGTATCATGAATCATGATATGCTTTTGTATGTGGAGATATTTGAATAATCATATACACTACTTTTTATGTTAGGTGTTTGGGTAGTTTCCTACATTCTGAATGAGATTTATGAGGAAATAAGTTGGCTACAAGTTGCTTCCAGATTTTTCATAATGGTTATGGTAAGGTTTCCATAATATCTATGATTTTAATTGGCACAAAGTGGAGTGACATTTGTGGTTGGTTTTCTTATAAAGTTTCTGATATGTTTGCAACTCCACAGGCTAGTGTGCTGGTGCTGTTGTTTTTCACCTTTTCAATTTCTCAACCACTTGTCTCGCTTATGAGTTTGGCAAAGAAGGACGAAAGGGAGTACCAGACAATGGGTCAGGCACTGGGAGTAGGGGATAGCGGGCTTCTATATCAAAGGGAGTTATCATGGGATTTCAACTCAAATGAACCTTTGGATAAGCTTTTGCTAAACAAAAGATTTCGTGAATCCTTCACGGAATTTGCGGACAGGTACCCTGTTTTGGCTTTATGTTTCTCAAATATGTAAAGGGAAGATATAAGTTTTAGGTCTCATCTGGTAGATCTTAATTGATGGGAAAAGTACAATGGTATATTATCAAATAAAACAATGTCTATTCGGTTATGATATACTTGTTTTTCTTCTTGTAGTTGTTTAGCTGGGGAGAGTGTCCACTTTTATGAAGAACTTCAACAGTTCGATAAAATACCTATCGACGATACTGTTGGGAGAATATATATGGCACGACACATTATCCAGAAGTACATCGTTGCAGGTTGGATAAAAATCTGATAAATCATTTACGTAGGAATTAAATTATTCAGCTGAAATATCCATTTATTTCATTTCTCACATTATGCAGTAATGACTTTTAAATATTATAATTTCATGGAACCTTGTGTTGTTTGTGCTTCACTTGTCATCCACATTGTGTTTCTCATGTATGATGCACAGATACTGGAAATGGAAACTGGATTTTCAATGAGTCTGTGTGTATAGGATACCAACAAAAGCATCCACCTGAAATAAGAGATAGGAGCTTTCTTTTTCCAGCCATTCGATCATAAAATCTAAGGCTCAAATTTAAAATGCCTGAAGAGTGAAGATGGAATGAAGAAACAATGGATAAAGAAAAACCAGGACAAACACATATTAGAGTTTAGGGATTAGAAGTATAGAATATCTAATCAATTTGCACCTTTATGGGCTTCAAATTTGAGCCTTAGATTTATGATCTAACGGACAGAAAAGAAAGCTCCTATCTCTCATTTTTGATGGGTTGATAAGCTTACAAAATATAATTATACATGGTATAGTCATTTCATAAAGTGGTATGTTATACTAGTAATTAGATCAGTCGTTCATTTTTACCCTAAATGTTCTGAATTTCAGAAACCACTAAAACATCCTCAAGTGTCTGGGATACTTTAAAAATGACCCCAGAACGTTTCAGGGAAACAGCTCATTTGAAGTAAAATCACATTGGGTTCTCTTTTTTGTGGATTTTCTAGTCATTACAGTTCATTAGAATTTTCTCAACTGCATTTGCATTCACAACACACTGTTAGGTGCACCGCTGGAGGTGAATATATCACACCATTGCCGGCAGGGAATTTTGACTACTACCGATCTAGCTCATCCACAACTCTTTCACAGCGCTCTTGGTGAACTTATGCATTTGATGAAACTGGTAAAGCTCTTACCTCAACTTGGATACTATGTATATTCTTGAAACCTCTAGCTATTATAATGCATTTACCTTGAAACCTTTCTTTCTCTTTTGCTCCCCTCCCGGTCTATTCTCTACCTGATCCTCCATTGCTATCACATTCAAAGACTTTAGCAAGGGACTACTGGGCATCACCGTTTTTCCAGAAGCTGAAAGATGAGGCAAGTATGAGAACTGTTCATCATGATACAGAAGATAGTGGATGGAATTTCTCTCCCAGGTTAAGTTCTGTTCACTGTGCAGAGAACCCTTTTCAGCATGAGCATAGCCCAGTCGACTTAGCTGGTAAACATCGTGATTTAGGGTTGGAATGAGAAGGGATAGAATATATTTACTGTTAACTTACATGCTATATACTCAAGCATTTTTTAAGAGCACAAAGGCGAGTGAAGATTACTAACCCCCGTAAATACCGAAAGACTCAGAATTCATTATTCACCTCCACGCCTCGACATGCTTTGACATGCTCCCTGCATATAAGATATATGGAGCCAGGCAGGAAGAGATGTTGGAATTCCTCCTGTGTGGTGCTAGCCGTACTGTTTGTAGCTTGAAAGGGTACTAGTAGTTTGTTGAGCTTTATATTGCTTCTTGTTAGCTCTCAAATGTGAAACACTTCGAGATCGAATGCTAACTTTGTTTTGTTATCCCTGCTCCTTCTAACTTGTTTCACAATTGGTGTAAACCAAGTCTATATGATCATTTTGTATATTTGGTAACAAAAATATACTCATTCTTGGGATAAACTTGTATTTCTTTCATACTAAATCACAAATTACTCTTGTTTAATTAATTTTCTATTTGATATTTCAATGTTCAATGGAGGAGATGTGAATATAAATGGTTCCAAACCACCTGTTCATGTTTTATGGTTTTCATTGAACGATTGGGTGGGGAGGGGGATGTGAATATAAATTCGAAATTTGGAACTATGGGTTAGGCCGTAAGAGGTATATAGTATGGATTTCTTGAAAAAACATTGGTCTTGGTTCTGGATCTCTGTTTGGTCCTGCCGACGATGCAATTGTCTGGAATTTTTCACATATTTTTTAATAACGCAATTAAAAATTATTTTTTATTACATAATAAATATTTTAAAAACAATGCTACCAACTTAAATAAAAAAATACATATTTTTAAAACAATGCTACCTACTTAAAATAAGTAATTGCATATAAAAATTAAAGGCACGACAAAGACTTCTAGAGATATCGAGTTTGTGAGTGTAGTCGATTCTAAATTCTTTAATAAACATGTTATGGAATGATAAAAAAACATGTTATGGACTCAGGGGGCGGAACCAGAGCACTGGGTCGAACTGGGTCAATACACATAATTTCTTTCAAAAAAAATTACACCAAATTTTTTACCTTAAAATACAGACATTTTTAATATTTGGGCTGGACCGGGGCCAGGGTTGGCCCCTCCCTTGCTACGCCCTTGTATAGACTTCTTATAGAGTTTGTATAAGTGATAAGTCTTAATGTAACAAACATCTAAAGAATTATTGACTTTAGCATATAAAAGTCATTGGAAATCTTCATCGAATATGATTATACGGAGTATGTCTTAACACGTTCACCAGAAAAACGCTTTTATTATACGGAGTAATATATAACGGACCCTATAAGTCTATAACACTTCATCATGGAATTAGCTATATATGTGAAGAGATATAGAGGGTTCGACCCTTAAAACTATTTAATTTATGATATGCAAAGCTATGAAAAGGAATCGAACATGTGCCTAGCTTCTTCAGCAAAATGTTTGCCATTATGTGAATTGCAACTAAACTTGCACATGGAATCGTAGTCCATAGAATGATATTATATTTTTTGCATTCTTCGCAGGCTCATAGCTTCTTGATGTATGGATGTAGATCATGTTTAAGATATTTGGGTAGATTACTTGGAAAACATAGCAGAGAATAAGATTGATCATGAGGATGTACTTCAGGATTGAATTGGTTATAAATCCTTTTAAAACAGAATATGATGGGAGCCACATAGTTATTTTCCCATAACTACCATAACCTATGAGTTATGTCATTGTAGTGAACTACCACAACACTTTGTTTGGAAAACCGATTGTCAATGAAGGAGTCGTGAATGAGTCGAAGATTTCAAATAAAATCTTCTTAAATGTGTAAGAAAAAAACTATTTGAACACATTTTTTATGCACATCAGTATACATGTCTATGAATAGGCGTATCTTTGAAGCATGTTCACAGACAAAACATGTCTAAAATGTCTAGACATGTTTTGTCTGTGAATAGATGTTAGACATGTTTTGTCTATGAACATGCTATTCACAAATAAAAAATAGTCTGGTCATAGACATGTGTACCCGTGTATACAAAAAAAGTGTGTACAACAAACATAATCAATTTTTAAAATGTTTTGAGTTTGCAAGGGGATCCAATCACTCAACTACAGGATGTTTAATTATGTACTCCAGTAGTATTCTATATTTGTTCCGTGGCACAACTCAAATTGATATACCCAATTGAGAATGTTTATATTTTATCACCTTTTGGTGCAACGCATTACACAATTGAAGATGTTTTATACTCCAATCCTTAATTTGCAAGCTAAACGTAAATTAGCAATATGGATGAATACTTCTTTCTTTGAATCATCGAGAGATGATAGCATTTTATAAGACTGAGATGGTGATTGGTGAGAAGTGAGAACAACCCGGACACAACATGAGTCGTAGATTTGTCATTCTAGGAAATAGGAATTCTAGGAAGTCACCTATACTAAAAGAAACGTTCTTTTCTCAATAACATTTTTTATTAATTCAATAGATAAAAGTACTCTTTGATAGACAAAATTGGGGAAAAGGTGATATATGCTTTTTTTTTACCCCAGGGGACGCATATATGCTATATACGAAAAGTCGATTATATTTCACTACACTAAAAATACTCAATTGAAAACATTTAATTAAACTTTTGTACAAGTAAACAACTGGTTAAAACGATGTACGTTGTATTTGACAATTTTTCCATAAAATATTGATATAACTTGGTGAAGAGATCAATATAGACAATTGTTTTGATATAGCTTGTTGTTGGGCATAACTCAACTGGTAAATAAGGAGTGTCACAAGATGTAAGTTTCAAGTACGATTCCTAACAACTGTGATGAGAAGTTATTACTCCCTCCGTCCCAGGGAGAAGTTCCCGGGTTGACTTTCACACATATTAAGGAAATAAAGTTACTGAGGGGTAAATTTTTCTGTTTGGCACTGTTTCGACACTGTTTCGACACTGTTTGACACTGTTTTGCACTGTTTGGCACTGTTTTTATGTAGGATAACTTTCCATTTAAGGAAATGAGAACTTTTTGTTGGGACTGCCAAAAAGGGAAAGTGGGAACTTCTCTCTAGGACGGAGGTAGTATGTAAAAATGCATAGAACCCAGGGGTGGAGACAGGGAGAGGCTGGAGAGGGCTACAAGAAAAAGATTCTTCAGTATATATTATTTATAAATACTTTTAATCTATAGAATAGAAAATATGTTGATATTTTGAACTTTGGTCCCTCCAAAGTAAAATTTTTAAGGACCGGCCCCGTTAACCATAGTTTTCGGGCTCTGCCACTGATAGGACCTCCCCATACACTTACGGAGCCAAAAAACGGCTCAATGAGTCAAAAATAACAATATACAAAGTGAAAATGATGAATCGTTTTTTAGCCATGTTCGAATTGAATGTTTCCTATGTAGCAATAAAATAGATTGTCTTTGCTCTGTTTTTGAGTCATGTCACGTAAAAAATGAGTTAAGTATACGCTATTTTTAAATATTGGAAAAATAATCAATATTTCACATAATTTTTTTTTGATTTTATGTTTAGATAATTTTGATTTTCCAGAAGTCATAATTTTGTACTCATATGAGTTAATAGAACGATAATACTTCCTCCGTTCTTAAATAAGTGCAACATACCAAATTTTACACTATTCACATGTTCTATTTTGACTACATTTTATTTATTAGTGTATTAATATATATTTCTGAAAAAAATATTACTAAATTTGTCTCATTGCAAATTTTCAAAATCTGATTTTTTTAATTTTTTATTAATAGAGATTTATATATATTAATGGTCAAAGTTTTTTTTTTGGAAAATTAATAGTCAAAATTATGCATCGACAAATGTGAAATGTTGAGCGTTGCACTTATTTAAGAACGGAGGAACTATATCGAATCGAATATATTGCAAAACTCTATACTCGCAAACTTTTAGGAGTCGGTTGACCACCTAACCGTCTTGGCCCCACTCTTATTCAATTTTTATTTTCCAATTAATTGGTCCGGCGCTAAGGCTCCTCAGGAATTTCCACTCGACTTCGCCGTTACGAATTCTACTGCACTACGCAACAAATAAGCCATTCACCGTCACCATTGACGTTTGTATTCCCGTGCCCGCTCACCCCCCTCTGGCACTCTTCTTCTCCTCTCTCTAAATATTCATTCGAACTGTCTCAAACTGCCGATCCTCATTCTTTTCTTTATTCGGATGAATTTATCCATCTCATCCAAGTATTGATTTCGCAAGCTTGACAGAGAAGAAGTTTTTTGTTTCTGTGTAATCATCATAACAGAGCAAGCCCAGACGCGTTTTCTCATCTCCAAAATCTCTTCATGCGGCGGCATATATGATATATATATGTGCCCTCTATTCATCGGAATCATAAATCCATTACGCAATTCGCAGAATGAAGGAAAGCAATTTCAGACCCAGATGTTTCGTTCTCATTCTCCTCCTTTCAGCACCTTTTATTCTCCTCATTTTCTCCCGCCGGACATCCTTCTCCTCCCTCATATTTTCTGCCGCCGATCGCCGATCTACATCCAGCGACGAGATTCCGGGTCTCCGGATCCGGCCAGGATACTCGTCCTATGACAAGTACATCCAGCGTCAGCTCAACAAGACCCTCAATCCGAAGCTCCGGAAGATTTGGACGACTCGAGATTGGGAGCGGAAGATCGAAGTTTTCAGCGCGTTTTTCCGAGATCTTAAATCGGAGGGTTTCCTCTCCAATTCTTCCAAGGCACTCTGCATCGGTGCCCGGACGGGCCAGGAGGTGGAGGCTCTGAGACGGGTCGGAGTTTCCGACTCCATCGGCCTTGATCTCGTCCCGTCGCCGCCGCTGGTCGTCCGCGGCGACTTCCACCAGCAGCCGTTCGACGCCGGAACGTTCGACTTTGAATTCTCAAACGTCTTCGACCACGCCCTCTACCCGGAGAAATTCGTCGGCGAGATCGAGCGGACGCTGAAGCCCGGCGGCGTTTGCGTGTTGCACTTGTCGGTTTCGCGGCGGGCCGACAAATACTCGGCCAACGATTTGTACAGCGTTGACCCGATGAAGAAACTGTTCAAGCAATCCGAGTTGGTTCACACCCGGACCATAGACGGGTTCGGGTTGGATACGGAAGTGGTTTTCAGGAAAAAGAAGATCCAACGGTGACAATCATTTTTTTACCATAGTAGTTTTATTTTACTGTGAAGTAAAATTTATTCATTTGTTTGTTTATTGATATACTCCGTATTAAATGGAAAGTCATTCTTCTGCGGGAATGTGGTGTCTACTACTGGTGTCACCGATTTGCTTTTAGTTGTACGTACCTTTTGACTTGTGCTTCCATTGCTTTAATGGCTGATTGGTGGAACCATAATTTATTTATTGAAGGTTACTCCGTAAAAGTTAATGGTCGGTCTCATTTGCATCACGTATTTACCTTGATTATTAGAAGAACTGAACTTTTGGTTTGGATTGTTTTTATTTGCACACCAGATCAGATCAGACAAATCTCATCCATTAGGCATGATTTAGAGAGTTACTCCGAATAAAATAGCTCGTTTGCTAGCACGAAAATTTATGAAGTTCTGGTTGAATTGGTGGTTCTATTCGTTAATTCTGCTAATTTAAGAAAAAATTATTTTTAAAATATATTTTATTAATAAAATAAAGAAAAAATTATATGTAAAAATAGCTAAAATAGTCATCTATAGTAACTTTAGCCAATACAACCACAAAAGTAACTTCAACCTTACTTTTTCTGCTTATGACACAATTCAGCGCGCGAAAGCAAAGTTGATGAAATAGACTAGAGGATAGACTATTTTATGTAATCATTTTATGCAACCTTACATTTGTGTAATCATAAAAAAAGAAGGGAGGATAGACTATTTTATTACACATTTTATATTGAAGAATTTAAAGGATAGACTAGTGTAAAAAAATGAGACACTTTTGATGAAATAGAGTGTATTATTTATATGGTTCTAAAAATCGGCCTAGACACCCCCTTGTCACTAGGCGGTCTGAATTGAATCATTTCCCAAACCTTTTTTGTTTTATCTTAAAACAATGTTTGATCAAGAGGTATTTCATCCCTATATAATTTATTTTCATATTCCTACAATAAAGAATATTTTTTTAATGTATATAAACTTTTTAGAATGTATTTTAACGTTAGTAGAGACTAAAAACACAAATATCTTTCAAAAAACATAGATATATTAATTTATCTATTAATTATTTCATTATTGATGATTTTATAGAAATCATTTTACTATAAAATTAAAAAATAACATTTAATGATTATATAAGCTATTTCTATTGTCAAAATATTACGTAGTATAAAATTATTAGTAATATAATTAAGATTCAAAGGAGTTAGCAGCCGTCTCCCTAGGTTTAGAGATCATTTTCTATGTTGTCAACGAAGTACAGCTTTCTTGGGCGATTTTCAAAATAATTTTTTAAGCAATTACTCCGTAGATGATATTTTATGTCTAACAACTTTCACTAATATATGAAGACGTAAGTTAGTTTTAGCCTAGGGCCCAAAAGCTCAAAAAGACGACTCTGGGTTGAATGTAGAGAGAGCAAAGTGGGAGGATAATATTCGAAAGGATAATTGATCGATTTTCTTCTTCTAAATCATTAGAAAATTGTTTACACAAGATGCATTCTTTAGGAGATTGTGGAAAATATTCTTCAAATTGTGGAAACATTCATAATTATTTTCAAATAATTGCATTTTTCTAGCGATAAGATGTGGCAGTGGCAGTACTCGGAGAAGTTAGATGCGCGCCAATGGCGGTACTTGGATACGGTGGACACAAGAGTAGTGATCTAGGTATTTTTTTTTATGTATCCTTATATATCTATTTTTAAAAATCATTTTGAAAACTATTTCGGAACGTTTTTTTTGGAACTTTTTTTTAAAAGGAAATTGACCGACTATATTAGTATCCAAGAACCAACGACATTACAAACTTTTTTATACTGAACAGCCTCCTGCTACCAAATTCACCATAACCTGAAGGTCCCCTCGCCCTATAATTAGACATGTAAATGATCACCTTAACTAGAGCGGATCTAGTCACTAACCGTCTAAGAGATTTGAAGATTATCTTGACTTTTGATGCCATCTTACTTCTAAGCATAAAATACCTACTCACCTCATAAGCATAACACACCCAAACAACAAAGGGTCCAAAATAAAAAAGAACAAAACTCGAAGATGACAATATTAAAATGCAAACTAAACGAGCATGCCATTGATTGCCAAGCTCTATTATCCTTGATTCATTCTAAGTGAGACCTTCCACAAATAACCAAAGCTCCAACTCGTACATTCCATGACGGTGGTTCACGAGGAGGCCGGATCATCAGGACCGCTATGATTGATACTACAACATTGACTGAACACGATTTTTTTCAAAGTGATGGTCCAATCAAGCGTTAGGCTCACATCCGCCGTACCCAAGGTTGTGATTTTCGCCAACATAGTCGCGTCCTCTTCATTTATCTCCATATTGTCATACACCTGAGCTAGCTGCTCCAACTCGATCTGCTCCCTGTTCGCCAACAACAATTGCCCTCAGAGTGCCCTGGATGAATTCAACTGAATCGTCGCACCACAAAGCCTCCCCCTAGCCGTTCGCAACTCTGACCAAATCGGAGAGCATTCTCCTGCAACCAAGGCTTTCAAAAACCACTCCCCAAACAGAGCCCTGGCAGAAACGCCTCTCGATCCGTCCGCTAATCAAGCTGCACCGCCGTCTGCTCCCTCTTATACCGAAGTTGTTCAACCTGCCGCCTAACCCTAGGTCAGTCTGCAATCTTCCGTACCAATTTCAATGTTATAAATAGACTTAGGGGGTGTTTGAAATCCATTCTACTTCTGCTTCTTTTTTAAAGGAGAAGCAGAATCAAAAGCAGTTTTTAGAAGCTGGTCACCCCCAACTTATAAAAAACCGATTCTAGGAGTAAATTAGAGCACTAGAAATACTTTTACACTTTCATCCTAACACTCCAACTTATGTTTTTGCTTACTGAAGGAGTAGAAACAGTTTTAAAATCAGATCCTAACATTACGTAGTCATCGTTCTTTTGGAACATTATTAAGCATAAAACGTGTACTGCATTTTCGGAAAGTTTTTTTTAAATGTGTGTACCGTAAAAGACTTTCTAACTTCAAAGCTCAGCATGCCGCAGTCTCTCCCTAACAGGTCTAGGGTTTGGTTTTCCCTAGCAGATCTAAGGTTTAGTTCTTCCGGCCGGTGAATCCCCTTCACCCGTGTCCAGCCCTGGGCTTGGATTTGAGGCAGACTGACAAGAATCCTTGCCCAAGCTTGACGACATCGAAGCCAGAGTTCGGCGATGGATTTCTTCGTGAGCATGACAACGATGAAGATGACCGCTAGCGGTGGATTTGCTACGAGCGCGGGACGAGAAAAGTTGCACGGATTTCGAGCATGCCAGATGACAGTTGACAATGAAGGATCAATTAGAGTGGGACCAAGGATACGACCTTCTTGTGAACCACCGCCATGAGTTGTACGAGAGACTAAAGTCCGTAAAAGTTTTTCAATAAATTTTCATTATTTTGTCATTTGGTTTATTGTTGTCGTCTATGTTGTTAGGTTTGTCAGTTTGTTTGGAAATTTAGCCTTATTTTATGTGATTGAGTATATTTGTATTTATGGGAACATTGATAGCTGTGTTAAGCCCGACATATGGTTAGCAATTTATGTTGTTAATGTGACCGTTTCTAAGTCTGATCAGGATTTACAATCGTAGTTGTTGGAATCTAGTTGTCGACTTGCCGTCACGTGGAGGTGCTAAACCCATGAAAAAAAACTTCAAAGCTCAGCAAATAAACTTGTTTACGCACACGCTTTGCACCGCTATGCCAATGGAGGTGCTATACCCATGAATTCAAGATTTTTCTCTGTTTTGCATTTTCCAACTTGTGACTCCTGAACTTCTTGACTTAATTCCTCATTCGTCTTATCCCCATTCAAACTGCAGGAGAACTGGAAGCAGAGGAAAGTGGATTGATTTTTTTCTCCAATCCAATCCAATCCATTTCGGGAATATCTAGGGTTTGGATACAGCAAAAATGGCTACGTTTGTTCTCCCACTCGGACCCAAGATAACTCTATCACCATTTCCCTTCCGAACTAGAACCCTATCCCCAATTTCCACCCGAACCCATTTCGGGAACCTTCTCACTCAAAAGCCCTTTCTGCGGGGCACGCTGGGTGTGACCCGGTTCGGACTTGGGCAGGCTCCATTTCCAGAACCGGAAGATGCAGCGTTACTCATGAAGAGCTTGTATGATCGAGTTGAAGGTTTCATGTATACTGTCGCGGATGCTGCTGTTTCAGGTTCTCCGGATGTGGGTACGGCTACTACTACTGCAGAGACTGCTAAACAGAATAGTGACTGGCTTTCTGGAATTACCAATACGATGGAGACTGTTTTGAAGGTTTGCAAAATTTAAATTGTTATCCATACTAGCCAAAATCTTTTGGGAGTAAGGCTTGGAAGTTGTTGTTTATCCATACTCGGTGCTTTTAAGCTCTGAGATTCCCACTACGTTGTCCAACTGGTATATTTAGTATATTGTGTAACAGTAGTCTGGACTCTATGTAACAGTGTTCGAACTCCAAAGAAAGCAAGTTTTTTAATATCTAAAATAGCTGAAGTAATGTGCAAGATTACATCGAGTAAAAGACTGTTATCTGTTTGAACTATACCAGCCATGGAGACATGGCAATCTTTTAGCAATTTAGAAACCAAGCTCAAACTAATTGATGAAATGTTATGGACTTATGGTGTATTTTCCAAAATATATATTTGTATTGGTTTATGGGTGATAGATGGTACTCCGTATTATTTAAAGCTATTTTCCCTAAATTAAATTACTTAAGTCATGTTGATTTTGTAAACTGTCAACTACCCAAAACCATTGTTTATTAAATCAAATTTTAGATGAAATAAGAAAGCTCATGTCTTTTCAAACATCAGTTCGGACTCTGTAATTGTGTTCAAACTTCAAAGAAAGAAAAAGATTGAAGATTTACTAGCTGAAGTGATATCCAAGACTACATTAAATGATACATACTAACTAAGCTCTAACTAAGCTCAAAGCCTCAAACTGTTTGATGAAGTTTTATGGTGCATTATAAATAAACATATTAAGTCGCTCGTTCAGTGCTCCAATCTACTACAAATTAATAAGATTGATACTTTACTTTCAGGTGTTGAAGGATGGGCTTTCGACTCTTCATGTGCCCTATGCTTATGGATTTGCAATTATACTGCTCACAGTACTAGTAAAGACTGCAACTTTTCCTCTGACTAAGAAACAGGTTATTTATCTGCTTCATTTTTTTAATTATGATTGTTTGATTGTATGTTCAGTGTGCTT